AAAGAATTATCTTTCTGGGGTGCCTAGGTGGCTCTGTCGGTTAAGCATCTGACTATTTTGGCTCAGGTCTTGATCTCAGGGTCGTGAGATCTAGCCCTGTGTTGGGCTCTGTGCTGGGCGAGGAGTCTGCCTAAGATTCTCTCTTTCCCTCTCCCTCTGCCCCTTCCCGCCCCCTCTCTCCTTCTCTGAAAAAAAAAGAAAAAGGAAAAAGAAAGAAAGAAATAAAAAGAATTATCCTTCCTCTCTTACATGCTGAGATTTCATTTAAAATCATTTTGAAATTTGGCACTGAGTTCTAAAAAACAAAAACACTCAAAGTATTTCTCATAATTTATTGAAATATGTCAGGATAACAGGTCTTTCATCCGATGGTCACATATTCATGCAACTCTCTTGGCCATCTCGTATCTAAAAAGAGTCACGGTCTTTTAGGAATTTGTGTGACTCAAGTATACTGAGAAATGTTATAGTGTAGCTCTCTCAGTGTCATAAATGAAGAGATGTGGGCTCTCTTAAAGTACGGGCAGGCAGTTTCAGGAAGAATTTGTGGGAAGTAAGGAGGGAGAAAGGAGGCACCGTGTAATCAGCCAGACCAGTAGGATTAACATGTTCACTTAATGGGGAGACATATGGCATAGTCAGATCTCAGTCCCAGGGGTGAGAATCAATTACCTAGAATCAAAAGCTTGCCATTAGCAGTGTTGAGACTTGAATCATCTCAAAACGATATGTAAATGCACCTGTGAATTGAAATGAAGACATGAAATATTTGTGCTGTAACAACTATTACTGTGTGTGTGGGGGGGTGGGTGTGGGTGCTGGTGAAATTAGGAAGGGGTCATGGGATGACTGGCTGGTGAAGCTGAGTGGCACGGTGGGCCAGGAGAGAGCACAGCGTGAGAGGTCTTGATACTAATGCCGGGGCTTTATCTGATCCTAATAATCTCGAAGAGGTGCATTGCACCTCTTAATTTGCAGACTTTTCCTCATCGGCACATTGAAGGTATATACCTTCTAATGACGACTCAGCTTTAGGGTTCCTGAATTCTCTGCCTTTTTTTTTTTTAAAGATTTTATTTATTTATTTGACAGAGAGAGACACAGCGAGAGAGGGAACACAAGCGGGGGAGTGGGAGAGGGAGAAGCAGGCTTCCCGCAGAGCGGAAAGCCCGATGTGGGGCTCGATCCCAGGACCCCGGGATCATGGGACCTGAGCCGAAGCCAGACGCTTAACGACTGAGCCACCCAGGCGCCCCTCTCTGCCTTTTTTTTTTAAGATTAAAACAAAACAAAACAAAACCGAGGATGGTTTAAAAATAATGACTGGTTTGCATCTTGTAACCCAGAAAATACCAAAGGAGAAATTCCAGTCCTTTTGGATGCTTCTCCCCACTGGGGCTCTGGGCACAGCGGCGGTGGTGGTTGTGTGGCCTCTCGTGATTACCGTGGCTCTTTCTCTGTCCCCTTCCCTTCCGTTCCCCTCCTGCGTGTCTCCACCGTCCTGAGGTATTACTGACCAGGTGTTAGTGAGGGCACTATAGCTGTGAGGTGTTCAGGGGAGTAAGAGTAAATGGTTGAAATTCACCAGCAATGGTGGGGCAGGGAGGGCTACTTTTACAGACTGTCACCTGCCAGTCCGCGGAGTGAGTTTTGCTTGGGGACATGTGGATTGAGAATGTGGCATGTTTCTTATCGTAAATCAGCGTCTTCTTGTCTTGGTCTCTTGGGGCTGCTAGAACAAAACTCGACAGACTTGGGTGGCTTATAAACCGTGGAAATTTATTTCTCACAGTTTTGGAGGCTGGGAGTCCAAGATCAGGGAGCATGGCTGGGTTCTGGGGAGGGCCCTCTTCCGGGCTGCAGAAGGCTGACGTCTCACTGTGTCTTCCCATGGTAGAAAGGTGACGAATCTCTGGAGCCTCTTTTATCAGACCGTTAATCGCACTGATGAAGGCTCCAACCTCATGACCTAATCATCTCCCAAAAGTCCTGCCTCCTATCACCATCATCTTTGGGGGTTAGGATTTCAACATAAGAATTTTGGGGAGGCACAGACATTCACACCATAGCCCTTCCTTCATGGACAGCACCTGAAAACTGGACCCAGGGGTTTCAAATAATGATTTCTATACCTCCTCTGACCCACTCCCCAAGTAGAGAGAGGTCTTTGAACTTTTCTCTCCAGTTTTCCTGTCCAAAGCTCTACAGAGCATGGTGGACACTACCATCCTCTTTCCTCAGTGGTGTGAAGGAAACTCCAGCCCTTAGTTTGTGTGTGAGAAGTGCCTTTCTAGAAAGTTCCCAGTTATGGATATGTGTGTGTGTGTGCACGCGAGTGCCCACATGTGTGTACACAGCAGGGGGGTGGGTGTATGATGGGAAGGGAGAGAGAGATGGGGAGGGGGGTGGCCTTGCAACCTCATCAGAGCCCTTAGGTAATTAATTGATTAAAAATATGAATTATTTCTTTTACTGTAAGTATTTACAGAAAAAGTCTTTCTTAAAAGAGCTAGTGAGTGTGAAGAGTGTGAAGACTATGTCCCAGAACCATAAGCCAAACAGTGCTGTCTTCTGTTCTGAAAAGCCCATAGGGCCATACCATCCCTACTGACAGCAGCCCGCACTCCTGAACACACAGTCACGCTGCCTTATGCCTAAAACTGGGAATGCCTGGACAGCAGAAGTTCTCTGTCCTTCTCTGTCCAATGGAGAATGTACTGAGAATTTCGGTGTGTCTGGAAATTTCAGTGTTTTCCACAAACTGTCTAGAAGTGGCTACAGTTGATGGAGTGCTTGCAATGGATCAGACCCCATTCTGCACGTTTTCCTTGGATGTAACCCTCCCAACAGCCGCAGGGCGTAGGGAGGACTCTTAGCCCCATTTTACAGATGAGAAGACTGAGACGCAGAGCGCTTAAGCTTCCTTCCCGAGGTTGTGTAAGTGGCACAGCTTTGGCTTTTGCACAGATATTCTTTACCACGGTGTGATCCCACCTCCCGGAGTCAAGGCACGGTGACCACCTTCAGCATCCTGCAGGCAGGAAGCCGGTTACGAGACCGGTGCGAGGGTGGGGAGCCATGGTGCTCATAAAGGCAATGTGTGTGTTACGGCCCGTTAATGGCCCCGCTGCCACTCGTAGGCCTCTCATCTGAAAGATTGATCTCTGCAGGTGTCTCGATTTCTAGCTTCTCTTGGAGGAGTCATGCTGGCCTCTCTTTCACATCAGGTGAAGGCTTGGCCCATCTTCCGAGGCTCGCCAGCTCCAGTGGTGCTTTCCGTGGCAGCTCAGCAACGCTCTTCCATGCACGCGCCGGGTTCACGTTCCTTCCTCTGCAGGAAGATGTTTCTGTTGGAAACCTTGCCTCTGCGTGGTGCCCGACCAAATAAAAATAGACTCTGCTGTCACATTCCCTCGTCAGAGGCATCCTTAATCTGGGTCCGCAGAGAGGGCTGTGGGCTGCCTGTAATAAAAGAGAGGGGAAGTTTTCCCCAAATGGCTTTGTGGCATGAGCCAAGCAATGCTTCTGGGAGCTTCTCTGGCATTATTTCAGAGATAAAATTGGAGGTTCGGAAAGAGTGTGGTGAAGAGGCTGCTGAAAGGCTCAGGAGGTGGCAGCGTTCGCTGAGTGTGGGACAGCAGGGCTCCCCCTCTTCCCCCCCCCCCCGTGCTGGGGGACAAACCGGGAGATAGCAGAGTGCCCGGGGGCGAGTCGCTCGGACAGTGAGCTTGTCCCTTTCCTTCCTCCAAGCAGTGCGCACACACGTGCTGCTGGATGCTGGCTTCCCTCTTGGCCCTGCCTTCCCATCCCTGCCCACGCAGTAAGGCTGTTTCTCAGTCTCCCCAAGGGCATGCCCTTGGCCTGACTTGGCTGTCACTTGTCACTCCCACCAGGACAGCGTGGCCACCTCTGACATCTGCCCACCTCCCCAGATAGTGAAAATGATGTACTTCAGCTTCTGGCTGGTGTCGAGACACTTTCCTTACTCTCTTAGTGCCGTGGAAATCATCTTGGGGCGCCCGTTACACGAAAACAGCGGCTTCTTGGAGACCCTCCCCCCACTCATGTGTTCATAGCATCTGCTTTCCATTCTACGCCCGTTCTCCTGCACTTACTGTTCACACCTGGGCTCACTTTCTCCTCCACGGTGCCCGGAATGTGGTTCTGGCCGCGCTAGCTCCTCGTCGGCATGCGGCGAAGCGGGAGGTCACGATCTGAGTCCGAGGCCAGAGCGTCGCCCCCGAGGGAGGCCAGTGTGTTTCTAAAAGCTACAGCGATAAAGTGCAAAGCCTGATGGTGACTGATGTTAGTGTTTCCCCCCTGCGATGCTGATCTCGACTGCATATTTCATTGTTCTTCGCCTTCATTGTTGGAAACAGATAGTTCCCTTTTCTCTGCTTTCTTGCTTCACACTTGGGCAGCCAGAGGGGGGGACCCTTTCAAACCCTTGATGGCAGACTGACGAGCTTATGCTTCTAAACATGCACACGCTGAATCCATCCAACAAGAGAGAACACTGTAATGCTCAGACTATGGTTGAATTCAGAAGCTGGACGCGTTGTAATTGTAAATCGTGCGAATGTAGGTGATCTTTAAGAATGAAGACTCGTGAAGAACGGTTTTGTATTCTCTTACTTAACTTAAACTCAGTTTCAGAATCCATTGCCCGTGTCCTTTGGTCCTTTCCACGTAGAACAAGAGAGTCAATTAGTAATTGAGATTTACCTTAGTCACACACCAAACACACACACACACACACACACACACACACACACACCTTATTTCTTAACTTTCTTGCCATCCCAAATGTGCACCTGTTGACATACTGAATGCCTCTCTGAACTCCGAGGTGCAAGGAAAAACATGCTAAACACATTCTTAGCAGGAGAAGGCTTAGGAAGCCAAAAATCATTACTTTGTTTTCCCTTGTTCTCATAATTTTTATGACCTGTAATATTTTACATCTGTTAAAAATAAAACTCTCTTTTTGTATTTTGTAGAAACCACCTCTTCAGGTTACAGCTTGAGGATTTGTCTCTGATCCAGGTAGGTGCAATTTATCTTTCTCGAGCTTTCATTTTCCATCCCAATTAGCTTACCGTTGGAGGGCATGAAGACGGATGTCTGTTAAGGTACCAATCACGGCAGAGCGGGCGGTGCATTTCCCCAGCGGGCCAGGCTGCAGGACTCCTGGCTGCCTTGTGTGACATGACTCATCACCTGCTTTCCTTCCCCACTGGCCCTTTTCTCCTTCTGGGCAGCCTTCCTTTCATGGGCATCATCCCGATTTATTCTTTGTCAAATGGTAGATAATTCAAAGGACACCTCCTCAATGTCTGGGAGCACCCTTCCCCCCAGTTAGAAGAGTCGCTGATTATTTAGTTTGCTGCCTTCAGCCATCAGATTTTTGTAAAAGGCGGTTTCCTTAGAAAGACATCTTTGTTTCCTCTTTATTGCTTATAATGATATCGATATGAATATAGGGGTTAAAAACCACATAGAGCAAAGAATAAGTGATAAAATCCCAGATAAAAATGCAGTTTATCTACTTCCGGTTTCACTCTTTGAAGAAACAGCCTGAGATCCTTCTGCCTGAATAGAATATGTATTTTAGTGGAAGTGTCTGGTAACCAGGGTCTCCTTCGACAAGGGGAGAGTTAGGAGGACATGAATATCTCCCTGGCCGAGCATCTGGAACTCCTCCACGGAATGTGCCAGAACTCCTGGGTGCTGTGCAGCTTCGGAGAAGTTCTTCAACCAATTTTATTATCGCCCTCCTGTACTAAAGCTCTAAGAAGTAGTGGAGGGAAGTTGATCCTAGTTTCTTCTCTGTGTAATGCTGGTATTTGTGAACATCCAGGAAACTTCAGAGTGAGGATTTAATATTAGACCTATCTTTTATTCACCAGGGCCTCAAAATAAGCCAGAGCTAATTTTGGTAAAAAGCAAGGGCTCTGAAGATCTATAGACCCAGGTTTAGGATATAGCTTCATGCGTCCCAGCAACTGTGTGTTTCCTCATCTGTGAAATGGCCACAAGGCACTAATTATCCTCACAGTGTCACTGCTAAAATTAAATAAAGGAAGGTGTGCAAAAGGGAGAAGGCGTAGTAATTTCTCAGCAAATGTTAATTGCTTTTGTTTTTAAAAGTGATAATGACAAATGATGACTTATTATCGTAATCATTTCAACACACCAGCCGAGAATTGTCTTGCTGCTGCAATTTAGTATATAAGTCTTTAAATGAGTCGATTTGTTGGTTGAATTCATGAATGTATTAATAATAAGTAATCAAAATGATCAGCAGTTTAACCAAAATACTGCTTTAAAACTCTGATTTTTCAATGGTCTTTTATAAAAGGTATAGATCTTTCAGTAGATGGGAACTATATATTATGCTCATTTTGATTCTCACGGTATACAAGATTATCTGCCACAGTGCGTGTGGGAAAAAGTGGAGCGTGTAGACGTGGGTACAAACATTTGTTGACGTGTGCATACTCATTTTCCTCGTCTCCTAGTTGTCTCGGCTGAGGGGGTCTGGAAGCATTGGCATACTGGTAGCCATAAGCTCATTTAATGTACAGTTCGCAGTTCTTGTTCTCTTTTCCTTAAGGTTTTATGTATGTGAGAGAGAGAGAGCGCCCATAAATGGGGGGGAGGGGCAAAGGGAGAGGGAGAAGCAGGCTCCCCGCTGAGCCGGGAGCCCGATGCGGGACTCGATCCCAGGACCCTGGGATCATGACCCGAGCTGAAGGTAGATGCTTAACTGACTGAGCCACCCAGGCGCCCCTGCAGTTCTTGGTTTCTAAATTTAATTCTCCACTAATAGGAACCAAAGTTTCTTGGAGAAGTAGCCGGTTCCAGGCCCTGGGCAGTGAAAGTCCCAGAGAAGCCTGAAATATCTTGTTGTTTCAGGAATTAAGGACCTATTCAAAGCATGATGAGGGCAGGTCAGAAGGTCCTAGGAGCCAGCTGGAAGTGGGCTCACTGAAGAAATCTGGGATAATTTGATTGTTAAATCATGGTGTATAATCAGTCTCAGTTTATGACATGTTGAATAAACTAAGAATCAATGAGGATATACTAGCATCAAAATAACTGAGTAAGTACACAGATGAGGCAGAAGGGACCGTTCTTCCTTCTTAAATGCCAGCTGACAAATATTGAAGGAATGATTTAATTACAAAATTGTTACTTGGCAACCATGATACTAAAAATTAATTCAGGCACAAATGATCAATGGCTGTGAAAATGTATGGGTGAGACTTTGATGATGACCAAGATATTTATGTAGTCTCAAAGTATTTACCTATAACATATTTATTCATTATAAAAGGAAAACTATCTTTTGATGGTGAAGAAACCCAGCCAGTCTCACCATAACCAAGTAATCAAAGGTCCCTTCACCCGTAATGGGACAAAGAGCCAGCAAACGTGTCCTGATAGACTGTAGAGAAGGACACAGCAGGATTTCCTTGATGTTTGAACTACAGATTATAACCAGTTTCATCAGGAGGAACATCACACAGACCAAAACTGAGGGAGGGGCATTCTATAAAAAATTGGCCTCTACTCTTCAAAAATCACCAGGCCATGAAAGGCATGGAAAGAAAGAAGGGCTAGTCCCTCATCAAGGAGACAAAATGGCATGGCAATCAAATGAAACACTTGGTCCAACTCATATCTTGGAACAGAAAAAAAAAATTTTTTTTTCTTGCTATCAAGGACACTATTGGGACAACTGGCAAAATTTTAATGTCTGAGGAAGCCTGGGTGGCTCAGTTGGTTGAGCATCTGCCTTCAGCTCAGGTCATGATCCCAGAGTCCTGGAATCGAGTCCTGCATCAGGGTCCTTGCTCAGCGGGGAGCCTGCTTCTCCCTCTCTCTCTGCCGCTCCCCCAGCTTGTGCTCTCTCTCTCTCTCTCTGGCAAATGAATAAATAAAATCTTAAAAGAAAATTTTAAATGTCTGTAGATGAGATAGTAGAAATGTATTTATTTTCTGATTTTGATAATTGTGATGTGATTATGTAGGGAAGTGATCTTGTTCTTTGGACAAACCTACTGAGATAAGTAGGGGTGAAGGGTATGGTTTTTCCAACATATTCTGAAATCATTTAAAAAATTATAACACGTGCACCCAGAGAGAAAGAAGCAAATGTGGTAAAAATAATTAATGGGGAAATTGAAGAATTTAGGTGAAGGGCTTATTAGAGTCCACTGTGTTTTTCTTGCAAATTTTCTTTAAGTTACTGCAAAATAGAGAGATGCAAAGAATCGGACCATGCCTTCGCCACGGACGCGTGCCTGCCATTGCTGTGGGGGCGGGAAACCAAGTTGCTCTTCCCATCATTGCTTCCCGTTGCCGTGATGTCCTTTTGGTGGAAATCAAGGGTAGGTCATTGATGGAGCTGAACTGTGGAAAACCCATCAGCATCACCACCTGGTGAGAGAGAGCACAGAGGACCCAGCAAGAAGACCGTGACTTCCTGAACGGGGGCTTTGACAACAGAGCCCTCGTGACAGTCGTCAGATGTCACCTTGCCTTTGGTGCAAAACAGTACAGCTCTCCTCTTGGACATTTTGTGGTTGTGTGTGCTGCTCGGGAGCCTACTGTTTACTCAGTGTGGAGAGAGATAAAGCTTGAGGTTCTTCCTGACAGGCTGTTCCTTCTTACATGTCTTTGGTAAAGCGGTCTTATTGATTTCTATGAATAATTTATTTTAATTTAGATGACGATTTCCAAGGGTGACCAAAAAGAGAGGCGTACAGATAAGCAGAGGGTTGTGCTCATGTCATAAATGGTACTGTCCAGTAGAAACATAATGCAGGCCTCATGGCTAGTTGATTGAAACTGGTGGTCACATTCAACTAAGTACAGAGAAATGGGGATTATTTTTAATAATATATTGGTCTTAACTCATCGTATCAAAAATGTTATTTCCATATGAACTCATTATAAGAAATTAACGAGATGTTACGTTTCTTCTTCTTCTTCTTTTTTCTTTTTTTTTGCATTGAATCTGGAAAAATCTCATGTGGATTTTACACACAGAGCACACTATGATTCGGACTAAACCCCGTGCAGGAGCTCAGCAAGGCAGGTGCTACCTAGTTGACTGTGCCATTCTAGAGAGGGTGTGCAGAAGCCTTTATGACTTGAATGCATTCAGTTATGTCATAGAAATGTTATTTTCTACAAGGATCATCTGGATTAATTTGAATGTCTCAGGCTAATAATTACCTCCTTCCTTCTCTCACTAAAGATAAAAAAAATGATTGTTTAAACATGAGAAAGTAAGGACGCTGAGATAAGGGAAAAACAAATTGCAACGAAGTGGAGAGAATCAGAGTTGAGAATCTGCAACAGCCCTTGTTTCTCACCCGACAAGGCTTCATTTGATCTTGCCCCCCTCTGGGTGACAGCGGGGTCCACTTCCTGGTGGCCATGAGCTTTTTTCATGTCTCTCCCCATCCCCTTGAGGCACCTCCTCCTGGTAGGTCATGTCAAGCTACTTATAGCTTCCTAACCTGGAGGCTCTTCCCCAGCAGCAAGCATTTGCTCTTGCCGTCCTCTCTGGTAAACACTTTTACCCCATCCTCTTCTTAATCTCGGAAAAGGCTACCGATCCTGAGTCCCCCAGAGCCCCAAAGGTACCTGATCCCGAGTTACCCCCTCTTTGTAACTTATCCCAAGTCAGTTTCAGTTGGTGACCCTCTGATGCATTTCACAGCCTCACAGCCTCTATTTCCGACGAGCCCTTACTGTCTCACATGGAAATTCACTCTGTGTCGTGAGGAGCGTTCTCTTTCTGTCTCCTTGGTGTCAGTTGAAGTGGATCACTAGATTAGGTTACCTGGCAAGTGGTAGACTCAAGACAAATATCTGTTGATTTCGAGTAATATGTTCGCTCTTTAATTTTCTAAACTTCTCATTAGTGGGGTGTAGGTAAGCTTCATAGTTTGTCCCTAAATTTGAGGAAAGGAACACAACCGAGAGACTAGAGCAATGAGCAACGCTTGCTGGAAGAGGCATCCAGCAAC